TCTTCTAGTAAATTTTGCATATAATTTTATTAATATTTTATTTTATTTAGGCATATTATTTTTTTTACAGTCATTTAGCATTAGCATGCGATACAAGAGATTTAATATTACTTGCTCGTTTTTGCGTAAAATAAACAATATGTATTTTACTTGTAACTACCTTTGAAAGTTTTTTCATGTTTTTTTTTGTGATCTGAAAATTTTCCCAGTTTGGCTAGAAGTTTCAAAGCTAACGCATGGCCACAGGCCTAATAGAAAGATAGGCAGAAAAGTGTATCATGAAGAATGCTTGCATGCAGGGTTGCTTCCACTCACTTGCTATAGATGAGTGATTTTCGGAGTTTTGAATTCGTTAGATGTTGTAATGTAGATTTGTGTTGTTGGATGCGGGAGGAGATTGGAGGTCGGCTGATTCGGAGGCGAACCAGCCTAAGGCTGAAAGCCTCCTAAATAAAGCTAAATTAATTAATTAATGGAGGTCGGCTGTTTAAAGCATAAAGCCTGTCAATTTCGCTTTCAGAGTGTCGCAGTCAGTGGTTTTATGATTCGTGAGCACTCGCGATTCGTTGAATCATTGATTGTGACTGCAAGTGGATTTGGCGGGTTTTGTGTGTCGGACGCTTGCTTTTTGGCCTCTTCTTGTGTCTTACATGTGCAGAGTATCATTATAGCGTCTAATGGTTTTGAGATTCCTGGTTGCGTGAAATATATTTGTGAGAAAATCTTTTTGAGATGTTAGTACACTGCAAAAATAATGAATATTACATGACGTGTAAACCAAAACCATTTTAAAATTACATAGCTTTAAACTATGTTTTAGTTTAATTTTACATTAAAAATCATGCACATAATAAAAACATGATGAAACTCTTAAAATTACACGTTTATTCGATTCATTTTCTCTTGCAGTGTAATATCACCACGTGATGTAAAAACTTATCGAAGAACATCGGATTTTCAACGATAAAACCTTTAAATTTACATGCTCGTATAAATTTAAATCAACAAACATTGAGAAAGCTAATATGGCGGACGGACCGATTATCCCATCAGTTTTTTCTTCGCTCGGTTTGTTTTGTTTTGTGCGCTCAGTTTTAGTTATGTGGAACGATTTATCGTGCATACGCGCGTCCACAAACAGAAAATGGATGACGGACAAAATAGTGATTACAGCGGTTTTATACAGAGAGCACTTTTAGTTCGTGCAGAAAATCAAACATTTGGATATGGAAAAATAGAATAACATTAAAAAATGTACTCGTGGATCCTTTTTTATCCTGACTGATCGTTTTGATGCAGTGGTGGAAGTGTTGGAACCGATGGGGAACACTGTTGGAGACCGACTATAGAGGATGATGAATAGACTTCTGTAGTTTATTTTGTGTGAGTTGCAGCATTATTTGAACTAAGGGTACTAATGGGGTCTGATTAACTGCCTTTTTCTCCTGAGCCCACTCTAGAACCTACATTTCCTATTTAGATCTATAAGTGAATCGAGAAGTAAACTGATGGTCTGAGTTCCTCTGGTATATTCAATTAGAGAAGGTTCCAGCACGTAATGTTGTGAACAACATCTATGACAATTGTCCAGCAGTGCTCCCATTTTATTTGCAACAATCCAATTGGGCCGAAGATGTGCCGAATCTAATTTCAGCACAATGTTCTGAATGACTTACCCCTTGGGGTGACCATTTCCATGTTAAGGTGGTCAAAAAAAATTTTTTTTTTTAAATGGCTTTAAAATAAACGAGACTACACAAAACTCTTAAATTTTTCAAAGATCAAAATGTCAAATGAAAGGTTAGTAAACATACTTTTTAGGAAAAGTATAATGGTATTTAAAAATGGGATTATGTAATGAACATCATTGATTGAATTTGTTTTTTATTGTTTTCATGGCTTTTAGACATAGCGCGCAATATGTTCTCATATTTTTTTTTCTCGAAAATTTAGGGTCTTACACAACATATCAAAAAAAAAAACGATGAGTTTTTTTGTTTGTTTTTGAGTTATATTCTTTTGAAGTTATCAAGTCTTGGGCTACGGGCTACTTCGATCTCGCAAACGTGAGGATTTTAGTGCATGTATATTGCCCATCAAGTAACATAATAAATTCGTAGTCGCAGAAAGGGATAGTTGTGGGCTGAATCCTTTAAACCGTCAAGAATTTGGACAATATTTCCTTTGAAAAACGTTATGTGACTTGTTATATTTTCTCAAGCACAATTTTCCCTAGGATGGCCAAATATATAATATAAATTATTCTGACAACATTTTGATCTTTTGATATTTTCTCAGCGAAAAAGATCAGGAATTATTCTGAAGAACCTTTAAAAATGTCATTTCAATTCAAGGTCAGATCTTAGGGAAGACTTGGAGATACAAAGATATTTTGTTAACGCAGTTTTAAAAATAGTCTAGACATCAAACAAGAATTTTATTAGCTATTATTTTATTATTAATATCCAGAGATGATGTCCAGGATAATTTGAAGAGTCATAATTTTGCATCATATGATGTTATGGGGTTCCAGAAAACGATTAGAGCTAAATAATTCATTCATCGTTGAGTCTGTAGAACTTTGATATATGAATTCCAGGATGATTTATATTATTATTATTATTATTAATTTATTTGATCAGGCTCAACCGAATTAACTTTACAGAGCCGAGGATTCTTGTTCACTATACAATACATCTTAAAACTATAGTCAAAAAGAACAACACAATAAACATTTTATCTTCCGCTATCCAAAAAGCCTCCTCTACCAGAACAGAAGATGCTTCCAGTGGTTTAATTGTGAAACGGTTGCTTTGCAAAGTCGACGACGCATTGACTGAAAGCACTGCTGATGAAGAACAATGAGGAGGACCACACAATGGTTGCTGCCGAGTAAAAAGACGATCGCGTGACACATATTGAGAGTGGTCTGCTTCTGTCGACAGCCGAGTGAACACATGGATTATTTATAGAACTTCAAGATATTAACTCCAAATTGATTTGTAGAACGGTAAATATTATGTCAATTAAACTGTGTGTCTCAAATGCTTTTGAGTTGCATTCAGCAATAGCAATAAATCGATCGAGGCATCTATTGTGCGCATCTGGCTTAGCTCCAGGTTAATTTGGAGATCTTTTAATACCGCATTTCTCCAGCTCAGGTCTCTTGAATTGATATGTGCATTTATCAAAATACATATACAACATGTAGGCTCGTCATTTAAAGAAATCTATGACACTCTTTTGTAGAACAGAGACCAACGTAAACAAAAAATGAACCTTTTTCAACTGGTATCCAATTACCTTTTTTGAATTAACACTTGAATTAGCCAACCATGCAAACGACCAAGCAAGAATTAAACGTTAACCATTTGCTCAAACAGAAGATCAATGGAAATAACAAAAGCAGACAAATATGTACATTTGCCATACAATAACTCAATCCTACCCCTACCCACCCCCCCCCCCACCCTTGACACTTGGACCACAAAACGAAACAAACGAGGAAAACATTTTCCTTCGCTCTTTGTTTCTCATGGCAATTGCTTCGAATGAAAAACACTCTCACATGCCCAGCCCCATTCTATCGGAACGATTGAAGACGCCACATGCAGGCTCAATTTGCCATTGCAAGATTGCTACCACCTTGCTACTTCAACCCAACCTCCAAGTTAGTGTGATTGCAGCAGGAGTTGTTCGGTCTGCAATTGTTATGTTGTGCCACCAGTAGTCCTGCTCTTTTACTCGAGTAGCATTGCCAGCCCGGAAAGTGTGTATGTGTTTGAAACGTTGAAATATTTATATTAATTACCCCCGCGCCAACTAGTTGAACTAAATAAATTTTCCCCAGCTTTCATTACCAGAAAATAGTGCAATAATTTGAAGTATTTGTTTAATGATACGAGATAAAACTTTTGCTTGCTACTTTCAGGCTGGTGGAATTTGCAGTCCTGTTCTCTTTGGCCTACAAAACTCATTTCGAACACATATTCTCGAACATTCTGCGGCAGCGTCTGGGAAAGTCTCTGGAATGCGATGCTGTTTGAGTCAGAGCAGGCAAACAAACAAAAAATACTGCTGTAACAAACTGCCGGAAAGTTAATTTTCCCCACCGCTGCCATGCTGGGAACTGTAACAGAGAGCAACAAATTTGTGCGCAGTTATTAGCTCTTGCAGGAACTTCATGATCCAACGTAGTCTGGATCCTACAAGTTGACTCATACAGCAACCAGTTGAAGCGAGGAAACTTTCTGCATTGCATGCGTTTGTTTAGGTACATAAGTACGTTCGGGCATATTATATGAAAAGTTTGAATGGAAAACTGAATTGAAATAGGCTTCAGCTGCAAAACTGTTGGTTATTAGTTAACTGAACATTTCCTAATTACTTTTTGGTTATAAGTATTGCTGTTAGTGAAGTGAGTGCTAATGTGTCACGTGATTTGTTAGTTGTAATAAATTCATTCAATTTAATTAAATAGTCAAAACCTTAACTATGCCGCCACCGGAAAGAAACTGCATCACAGTTAGAATCGAGATATTTCAATGGAACACATTTAAGTTCACTTTTAGATTGTTTCCTTGATCCTTAAGTTAAGGATTACTTCTCGCATGCAATCAAGGAAGGAATATCAAGCCCCGATAATAAATGGCAGCTGTCCCTGATTCACCTCATTAATTTACGATTGAAATGAATGATTCGTGAATATCTGAAAATTCTCCCATCACTCTGCTCAAGAACCTTTATCCATCAGATTATGGCATATTACCTCTTAAATCCTCCATGAATGGTTATGGTCCACACTCGCCGATGGCTTTTCGGAAAGAACCCATCAAACAATTTATCCCTTTCAGCAGTTTCAACGCTACATGATAAATCCTTCAATTTATAACATCATTCGCCGGTTTACCGTAAAAAATGGAGCAGCTTTCTTCTCAAACAGTAAAAAAAAAACTTCTTAGCGTGGCCATAGGAAGCATGGCAGAAATTAGGACACTTACCCTTGCCGAACCCATGGATATCGATGCGAAAGTTATCGGCTCCCTTCTGGCCGTCCACCAGCTGGCCGAGGCCCCCGACAAGGCGGTCTCCCTCTTCCTCGCCGTCGTAAGTGCGATCCGAAAGGTCAACCTCCATTCCACGGATCACACCCTTGGGGATGCTGTAGGATATTAATCCCTCTGTAACGAGAAACGAAAATGGAAGAAAGTATGTGAGTATGCTCCTTGCTCTTGGTAGGTACTGCTGCACGATGGGAAGATTGGAGCATACATCGCCCAGAAGAAGGAGTAGTAAGATAAGAAAGTTTAATATGAAATAAATTATATTTCCCACTTTTTAATAAATCGAGTAGAACGCGTTCAGCCAGCGAATAAAGTGCACAAGACTCCCTTCAGTGTGCGATGGTGGCAAGTTAGCGATGCATGAGCTGGGAGTTGGTAGTAGCAACACTTCATTAAATTTTACCAGTATGCTATCCGATTTTATGCAGCTTTCTTAGTTACCTAGACGCTAGGGAAAGCTTTTTTCAACTCGATGTGGTGGAGATGGAATTGATGGAAGCAGCTGTCAGTGTATTAAAATTCATTGATTCAAAGCTAGAGCTCTTGATAACTTTAAATATAGACCACCGAAAACAAAATGCCATTTTGAAACCAATTTCGTGGCATTATAACTTTCAGCCAAGTGGAAGGATAATCAAATCAACGAAAGCTACTTAAATCGACACGTTTCAACCATTGCAACAGTAAAATTGAGCGCTCGAGTCGGGCTCCGACAGCTGCTTCCAAATTCATACCGTCAGTAACAGCTCAATTCACGTGGTCATGATGGCGATAACGATCATCGTTCATCGATTATGGTTCTTTTTTTCCATTACAAAACTCTATTAGACAGGTTCAAAATAAAGAAATACCTTAAAACAGGAACAAACTGGACCTTTTTAGTATAATAACCACAGAAGTTGAGTTCAATAGTCCTAGTTTAACCCACGGAAGCTTCTGGTGGAATAAATTGCTTTTAACTAAATCATTTGTTTTAGGTATAAAGCAGCTTCTGGAAAGCTTATTATTTTGCTTTGATTTACGGTTTAGCGACTTTGCAGTCAATGTAATTGTTTATATGAAAGTTTGAGAATACTGAGAGGTTAGCACATATCATCGGTAAGAGACGTGTTTATGAGAAAATTTGCGAAAAAATCTAAGGGCACCGGTGGGATTCGAACCCACAATTCTCATTCAGTACACGGGTGCATTGCCAATTATACAACAGATGTAACATGTGACAATGTGACATGTGATGTGACAATTAGTCTACGGATGTATTTGGCTAATGACATTTGAGTTTCGAATCCGTTTCCCACCCTAGTCTTTTTGCGCAAGCGGTCTCTGATACACAACAATCGTCTATTACCGACGATATGTGCTTGTACCGCAACCACTCAGTATCAGTCGATGTGAACAAACACAGTTCATTTTTGTTGTACATCTTACATGCTGAAATATGTCCAGTACAGTATGAATATAACATTTGAGCTGCCGTATAACATTTATTATTTTGTGCACAGCTGGCTGATATGCCGCCATGTTATTGAAACCAACATCTGAAACGTCACAATTCAAGTGTGAACTTTTATTCCATATAAGTGGTTGACTTCGAGGTAGAAAATCAGAAAATTATGCTCTATGAGTTCTAAGTTTATGTTTCACAAAATGTAAGCAAAAATATCGACAAAATTGAAAATATCAGTTTTGTTTGTATTTAAATCGTGGCTTGAATCTTCTATTTGTTTACAAATTATGAGCTGTCAGTGGGGCCCACAATTCGCAGGCCCGCAGCGATGTTAGCTCTTGTCAAGGCAAGGCAAACAATATAGGGTTGCCACCTAGCTGGTTGTGCATGACCAATTCATGTTTGCAGCAATTCTGTTAGATCATGGGACCATCGAGTTTTTATGAAAGATTAGCCTCGTTTCACTTCCGTAGGAACTAGCGCGTACATCCAATTTGTAGCCTACTAAGCACAATCCGCAATTTACCCCTCTTTTTCAAGCAGGATTTCACACAAAATAGAATGTTTCTACAACAAACTTCAAAATCATTTTCAATACTTTGTTATTAATCCTTTGAAGTGGTTTTTTTCCTCTACCATATTGGCACATCATATAGCAGGGCCGGTCTAAAAACTTATTCAAATATTAAAAGTTATTTTCTTCAGGCAAAGTTCAGATTTTCTGTTGAAAAAAGAATACAAACATTTTATATATTTGTTACTTTTGGCTTGAATGCCCTCAATGTGGTCTTTAAATACTACCACTTTCAATAGGATTACAATCTAAATCTGTGAACCTCATATCGGCTTTTAATCATGCGAGCAGTATAATTCAGGTTTTTAATCAGAGACGAGCTGGCGCTGAAGCAAAATTTGCTGATATTTTCAATGGAACGTTTCACACAAAATGGTAACATCATTCCGGTGTTCCAATTATTGTTGCCTAGTTTAATTGATATTGGAGAGTCATCCCAACTTGTCAAACTTCACTGTTATTTCGGTGATTTCACAAGCGTAGTTGCAGTAAAGGCGGAATACGAGCTCTGGTGCCGGACATCCATAAATATTAACGAGAATTTTAAGGTATCCGGGATGATTAATAAATGTGATTCGACGTATTTTCCAACAATCAATCTTTTGTTGACGGTTTTGGCGACGCTCCTGGTCACTACAGCCAGTATGGAGAAATCTTTCTCCACACTGAAACGAATTAAAACTAATGGGAAACCAGTGACTTTCTGACTTGAATATAATATCAATTAACTGGGATTATGCCATTGGCCCGAACCACGTATTTAATATACTATCAAAGAGTAGAGCTAGAAGATTATTTCTGTAATAACCAGGTGTAATGTCCAGGATGTGACCCTGCGTTGTGTTTTATTTGTTGCTCAGATATCTGGACAGCAGTTTGGAGATCGGCAGTTGATTCAAATGAAGTAAAAGAATGCATTTCACTTTCACTATTTAATACCTCCGTCAGGCAGCACTCTGATTGAAGGTCAAATTCAAAGTTAATCGAACTATATTAAATATTTAGGCGCCGGTGGTGTAGTGGTAAGCGTGATTACCCCTCACCCCAGCAGGCCTGGGTTCAATCCCAGTTGGCACCGCCGGGATGTTCTGAGGCATAACATCTCTGATCACGCCTTCCTTCGGAAGGGAAGTAAAGACGTTGGTCCCCAGTTCATGAGTTGATGGGTCGATAGGTAGGGTCCAGGTGTGGAAGCTGCCTTCCTGGCGTCGGTAGCATTGGTGCTCAGCACGGAAAACAAGATCGACGGAAAACAAATCAAGGAAAAAAAAATATATTAAATATTTGCACTTATATCACAGAATAACGATCACTTCAAAAACAAAACAAAAATATAGCGATGGCAAAACAAAACCATAAAGAGCATACAGAATGATTCAGGCAACAGTAGCCACTGTTCTCTTCGTGTTGATCACATTGCTACCACTGCATCGAGGGACGTTTGTTTATACCGCTTTCACAAATTTAAATGAATTAAGATACAGTGCCGCAACACCATTTAATATGTTAAACCTTAAAATAATTAGTTTTCAAAAAATATCTAAAATATTTTTGACCTTCTTTACAGAATGCGAATCTTGATAATCATTGCCAGCAGAAAACAAATTAAAGCTACATATATTTTTTTTTAAATTTATACATTTGTTAAACTTTTCTCGTAACTGCTTATTAAAGGGTTTGAAAACTATTATTTTACATTGTGATGGTTCATTGAAAATTCCGATCGAAAGTCGAAAATGAAGTCAAGTCATGTCCTAAGAACTTTTTTAATTATGTAAACACGAAATTAAAAACTAGAAATTTTCTTTCGCGAATGAATTTGGATGCAAATGGAGGTGAGAATTCTTGTGAAATTTGCAATCTTTTTGCAAATTCCTTCCAAGAAGTATACACCACATTTTCCGAAGAAGATCGTGACCGCGATTTCTCAGCATTCATTCCTGAAATTTCTAAAAACATCTCTGTCAACCAACTTTCTCAACATGAAGTCCTCAATGCACTAAAAATCTTAAACGCGTCGAAAGGGTCTGGACCTGACGGCAGCGCACCCATATTTTTGAAAAACCTTTCTGAAGAACTCGCATTTCCTCAAGAGCGTCTTTTCAACATGTCTCTGAAAAATGGAAAATTCCCTGAAATTTGGAAATCATCTTATTTGGTAACTATTTTCAAATCAGGTGCAAAATCAGACATTCGAAATTATCGTGGAAATGCTATTATCTCTTGCATTCCAAAACTTTTTGAATCAATCGTAAACGGCAATATTTTTCAGCAGGTGAAACATCTAATTACAAGTAAACAGCACGGCTTTTCCTACATACTTAAAAAAATAAAACTGCTTGTATATGCAGACGACATGAAGCTCTTTATGGAAATAAGTAATTCTAGCGATGCAGAAGAATTTCAGAATGAAATCAATATATTCCACACCTGGTGTAGTAAAAGTCTGCTTCAACTGAACGTAAAAAAATGTGCTGCAATAGCATTTAGCAGAAAAATTGAAACACCGCATATTGAAATATCATTAGGCAACCAAATAGTAGAAAAATGCAAAATTGTAAGAGATCTAGATGTAATCCTAGACTAACTTTTATAGAACATTATAATACTATCATTAGTAAAGCAAACAGAATTCTAGGCTTCATTAGAAGGTTCAGTCATAATTTCGAAGACCCATACACTATTAAGCTATTATATACCACATATGTAAGGCCAATTCTGGAATACTGCAACCTAGTATGGAATCCATACATTTCCATACACGAAGAACGCATAGAATCTGTCCAAAAACAATTCCTTTTATATGCTCTACGTAAATTGAATTGGACTGCATTTCCATTACCATCTTATGAAGCGCGCTGCATGCTCATCAATATACAAACACTTAAGGAGCGCCGCCAATTCGCAATGCTTTTCTTCATCAACGACATTATTTCAATCCGCATAGACTCGGCAGAAATTCTCGCACAATTAAACTTTTACGACCTTGTCGATATCTTAGAACACGGAATTTATTTTCTCAAAAATCTTACAGAACAAACTATGCAAAAAATAGCCCAATCAATGGAATGATGCGCCTGTATAATTTGCATTGCA